CAACAAAAACGTGAAAGACAGATTATTTTACAAAAATTTATGTAACAATCAAAATTTGAACGGTCATACAGTTATAATATTACCTTAATAATAATATTGAATTCATGAAAATCAATAAAATAATATAATAATGTAAGAAACAAAGAAATTACATTATCTAGAATTTTATCCAGGATCTTATCACATTTCCAAGAATTATGATTTTGAAAATTTAAAACTTTATATTTTTAACATCAAGTCACGACGACCAAAAACTCCGAAAATTGATAAAGTATTAGTAAAATATAATAATCGAGAAGCTACATTCTTTAAAACGTGAAGAATTTTTCAAAAATTACAAGAAATGTGATTAAGAGAATAAAATTTAAGTCTTATGATTTCAACAATTGAACTGTTTTTTTGTGGAACACTGAAACATGAAAAATTTAAATCCTACAAAAATGATTAAAATAATATATTGCATAATTTTTTATTCTTAGTTAATAATTACCTAAGTTTATATTAATAATTATTAACATAATTTCTTGCTTTGTTATTTTAGTAAGAAAAACATTTTAACAATATAAAATTATATATATAATTAAAACCAACTAAATATTATTTTTATTTTCTATATTTTATATACATAATCTTTATACATACATCGGAAGACTCAATACACGATCGATATATCTTTATATGCAAGAGTTATCAGCTTACATCCAAGTTACAGAAACATCTTGTATAATGCTAGCTATCGATTAAGTCTTTCGGAATCGATTGGTTCAGTTGTGACGAGATTCGGTAATCTGAGATACTCTTAGAGACCTTGCTGATATACGTAGTCCACTATAATGTTTGCTGTGCATGACTTGCGCAAGACACGATAGTATCTCGTGATTCCGTTTCTTACAATTACTTAACCAGTTTCATAATCGCTCTTTAATTTAAAAGATGATATTATTAAATTGTCCATCTTTCAAGATAAATTCTCATCAAAACCTCAGAGAGAGAAAGAAGAAAATATGTCGTATTTTCAAAGGACTTTTCAATATATTGCTCGATGCTTTAAAAACGAAACTCAATAACGAATACATATTATAAAAATTATAAAAGTTTTAATATTTAAAATTTTTTTTATAATTCTTTTTATAATTAAAACATTATATTAAAAATAATTTTGTAAGTAATAATTCTTATTAGGAGGTAAATTTACAAGGTTGTCACAAATTCCTTCTAAAATTCCATAACTTTTCCGTGATTTCCAGATAAAATTTCTTGATTTTCCCTGATTTTTAGTAATATTTTGAAATTTTATGTATTTTCGTCCTAATTTGGAAACCGTTAGATATTTTATTGAGAAATCAATTTAATATTGTATTAACAGCAATGTAAATTACTATTAATGTTGCTGCTTACATTTTTAATTGTTAAAAGGGAAGTATTCCATAAACTGCGTAAGTGTGATATTAAACTTTTTTAAAGCCAAGAATTTTAATTTTCCAAAAAATTTTGCAAAATTCCCTGACTTGTTCCTTATCTTATTGAAAATGCTCTGATTTCTCTGATTTTTAGTTTTGTGACAACCTTTATTTAAACGTCACGCAAACTCGATTATGCTTGTCGTAGGAGCAGCTTGATACTTAGGGTAGACTTTTGTATATAAAATAATTCGGTTAGTTTATTGAGCTTCTGGCGACAAGATATCAACAATAGGAGCATGGTATAATCGATAAAAGCTGTAATAATCTGTGCATGGCAGAGCTTAGGACCGAGTCTTCAGACACGCCAACCGGCGGTTCCTGGTACCAGTTCATCTTAGGTAAATTTTTCAACTTAAATTTTACTTCTCTTCCATGAATTTCAGCGTTTT